CGCATGAACAATGAGCGTGTAGTATGATAGAACGCCAGAGAGAGAGACCAACGCTTAAAGAATCAAGACCTGGAAATTCAGGCTTTATTCGTCTGTGAATGTAGACGATAGCTGACAGTATAAAAAACAGGGAAAGTGTATTGGCAATGATAAATATGGAGAGCATTGATATCACATTTTACCCTACCGAAGTTTTGAAAAGTGTACGTAGCAAAAGTGGATTGTGTTGATGGCAGAAACAGTGTATGATAATAGTTGCTGGACATGAGTGCCTCGTGTATATTAAAGTTTCACGGAAGTAGAAAGAGCTAGTGTTTAGGCTTCTCGGTTTCTGACGCAATATGGACGTACGCGCTGTTGCGGGTCTCAAGTTCGCTCCTTGTAGACAGCGTTTCGGTAAAGTTTTGTTAAGAACGGACTGGGATCGTATTCCCTTCGTCGTGTAAGCAACTCTGTTCATTATGTCGGGATGCGATTGCTTCTTCTGAACCGGAGTTATTCGTGTCTTGTTCAAGCAGGTGTTCACCTATGGGGGCCAGTTGTTGGATTGAAACGGTCTCATCTTTCCCATTTGATAGTCGGACATGTGCATACTTAGGGTTACATTCTACAAGTTCCACTTGTTCTACCAGAGGGTCGAACTTGGAAGATCGGGCGTTTTTTTGTTAACAAGATAGGACCCGGTGATGACAGCCAGGTAGGAATAGAGAAGCCAGACGAAGACCTTCCATTATGCCTCAAAAATCTCGTGCGAAGTTACGTTTGTTGCAGTACACAGAAGTGCTCGAATTAAATGTAAGGCGTTCTGTGGGACAGTCTCCCATTGATCAACTGGGAGGTCGCGAGAGCGTAGGACGAGAGAAATAGCACTCCACAGTGTTCCGTTCAGGCGTTCGACCTGCCCACTAGCTTGTGGGTGATTGGCGGTTGTTCGGCTCGTTGCTATTCCTTTGTTGTGAAGAAAATCACGCAGTTCACGGCACATGAAAGAGGAACCTCGATCTGAGTGAATGGAGGCTGGCAACCCAAACATCGAAAAGTGTTAACAAAAGCAGTTAATCACGGTGGAAGAGGATAAGTCAGAGCACGCAAAAGCGAATGGAAGACAGGAATACTCATCCACGATTGTTAATCGATAGCAGTTTCAGGTTAGAGGGAACCGGGCTTTTAAAATCAACACTGAGGCGCTCAAAAGATTGGATTGCTTTCACAAGTTGGCCCGGTGGGGGCTGCACAAACCTTGGTTTCAGTTCACAACAAACAGTGCACTTTGAAAGCATTGACTTGATTTCGGTCACAGAATAAGGAAGATTTTTGGCACGGACGAAATGGAGCATACGAGTTATGCCCGGGTGACAGAGAGTCATGTAGTTGTTTTAACTTCAGGTTGTCAGACGTACTGCTGCAGCTGGTACGTGAGAATGTATCGGCTCCCTGGTTGAACTTGCCGGGTCAGTATATGACATCGTGATGAAAGGGTGCAAGTTCGAGCCGCCAGCGCTGTATTTTGTCGTTTTTCATTTTCTTCTGATTCATACTACTGTACATGAGGCGACAGAACGCTTATCTGTGAGCAGTTTGAAAGGGTTACGAAGGAGTAGATGTCGCCATTTTCGCGCGGCTTCCACGATAGCATAGGCTTCCTTTTCCACTGATGAATGTCGCCTCTCAATGGGAGATAAGATGTGGGAAAACTAGGCTATTGGTCTTCCGTTCAGAAGCATCTGTTTCGACCACTAACGGCACATTAGGGTCGGCAGTGATAAATACGGCGTTTTTCAGTTCCTCCTTTAGATTTTTGTAGGATTTCTGAACATATGGTGGTATGGGGAATTCCGTGTTGTGAACGAGTGGATTGATCTTGTCAGAGAATTGTGGTATCCATTGGGAATAGTAAGCAAACATCCCTACCACTCTCCGTTGGGCCTTGATGTCAGTGGGAGGAGACAGTTCTCGCAAAGGCCTCAGTCGTTCAGGGTCGGGCTTAATTATTCCTTTGGAGATCTCATACCCCAGTAGCTTAATCCGTTGGACGCCGAACACGCTTTTTGTGTCATTGAAAGTTATTCCGTAGATGGAAGCAACGTTCAAAAAACGATCCAAATTTTGCCGATGTTCAACAGCATATTTTCTACAAATGGTGTGTCTGTGTTGGCAAACGTATCAGTTAGATTTTCTTGAGATAATTTCATCAATGGTCCTTTGGAAGCAAGAAGCGCCATTGGTTGCTCCGAAAGGTATACGACAAAATTGGTAGTTTGCCACAGGCCTCAAAAGCCGTGTACGGTCGTTCATCCGCTTTGATGGGGGTTTGGCGGTAAGCACTATTTAGATCCAAGGTACTGAATGTAACCAACGTAGCGATCTTCTGGACCATTTCGTCCAGTTTAGGAAGAGGATAAGCGTCTAGGTGGGTGAACCTGTTTATTGTCTGACTGTAATCTACGACCATTCCTCGTTTATGCATTTTGTTAGTAGTGACTAGCACCTGAGCTCTCCATGGGGAAAAGGATGGCTTGATGATGTTTTCCTGTAGGAGACAGTTTATTTCGGAACGAATGAAAGTATCGCCAGTAGGACTGTCGTCTGGACTTCGTCCCTATGGGCTTGCACTCCGGTGCAAGGTTACGGAAGAGTAATGGGGCTTCAACTTTTGCGCTGGTGAGGCCGCATAGACAAAGGTGGTTTCTTGCCACCGAACGGAATCTCTAATTTCTCATGTAATTTAATGAAATCGTGCCCGAGCAGGACATCTGAGCACAAATTCTGTAACACAGAAAGTCCGACGTTGTGGTACACGTCTCCTTTGTATGTGACTGTTGCGTTGCAATGCCCTGCGGTACACATCTGCACCTGAGTTGAAGCCATAGCTACACGCGTGCGCGACGGAGTAATCTTCCATTTCGCTCTGTGAGCAACAGTAGCAGGGATGTAGATTTCGGAACTGCCGGTATCAATCAGCGCTTTCAGTTCAGAACCGTTAATCTGTATCCTGGTGATAGTTCGTATTAAGCAACCGGGGGCAGCTGCGATCGTAGGATAAGAAATTAGTGAAGTTACCTGAGAAGTATTCATCTCGGATGGATTTGACAAACAAGCCTTCTTGAAATATCCCTTATTACCACACTTCGTGCAGACTGCCTCGCGAGCCGGACACTTTACCCGCGGATGTCGAGTGAAACCACAAAAGTAGCACTTTTCCTTCGATGCGACGGCAATGTATGATGATGGGGGTGATGGAGGCGAAGGCGAAGATTTGGCAATCAAGTGAGGTGACTCGGGTTTGTTGGACATTGATGTGCATGATGGGGAAAACAAGGTATTATGGTAACACTGTGAGTGCTGGTGTGCCATTTCCAGGGACTTCGCTAAAGCAAATGCAGTTTGGAAGTTTAACGCACCGTGTTCCAATAAGCGCTGTCCAATCTGCGGAGAGAGTAACCCAGTAATGAAGGTGTCGCTCATGGCGCCATCACGAAGTTCCTCCGCGCTGACTGCCTTGAAGTTGCAGTCATTAGCAACGACTTTAAGTTTCTGGGCGAACTGGTCTAAGTTAGATCCGCTGTCTTGTTTGCTAGTAGCTAAAATGTGGCGCGTGAAAACTTCATTCTTAGACTTAATATAAAGTCTCTACAGTGCTTATATTGGCTTCGTCTGAGCTGGTACTCTCATTGATATATTCGAAGACTGATGGGGCTATGTAGTTCACCAGGGTTTTTCGCTTTTCAGGATTGTGTGTTTCAATAGACTCAAAAAATTGCCAAAGGTATGGTACCAATGAGTCCACTGCCTTTGTGCATCCGGGACATTAGGATCAACATCGAAACGGTCTGGTCTGAGAAAACGGTCCATAGATTCTTTCTCAGATGAATAAATTGTAGTATGATAGAACGCCAGAGGTAGACCAACGAGTAAAGAATCAAGACCTGAAAATTCATTCTTCGTCTGTGAATGTAGACGAGAGCTGAAAGTATAAAGAACAGATAAAATGTATTGGCAACGATAAATATGGAGAGGAATAATACCACAGTGCTTGTTTGACGCCTTGTTTATGGCATAGGAAGTGGAAGTGAGCCGACCAGCGCCGTTATTTCGTCCACCCGACTCCGTGGGCTGGGCCTCGAGTTTCGCATGCCGGTATAACGATTCCCGCGTCGTGCGTTGTTTATGCCTCGGGGGTGTGGATGGAAGAAGAGGTGGGTTGGCCAAGTGATGGCTTGTTTATGAGTAATGAAGACCATTAGTACGATGTTGGCCTCGGTTGGAGGCTCTCGGCACCCTGGTTGGGGTCCGAAACACGATGAACACGTTTGGTTGGATACACTTGTTGACATGGCTAGGAGCCGACCTTAATAACGTTTCTTTGTCCATGCTCCTCCCACTTAATCTCTCTCTCCAACCAGGATTTCACTTTGTAGGCATAATATAACATTTTTGCGGCACTATAGCCGGCTATTAGATTTCCGGAACGTTGTCTATCCCTTATTGGGGACTCAGTTGGCGCGCTTCTGTTACATGTCATTTTTTAAGTTTTCCTTTGTATTGCGGCACGACATCTGAAGTATTTTCCACCTCTAGCTAGCGTGTATAATGATGGTGATGTTGTTCTACTGCTCGGATTTACAAACTTGCTTTAAATCACTGAACATGCACCACGGGACTTCTTTACGTGTTTAAAATACTATAGTATCGACAGCGGTTTCTCTGCGTCGTGTACTCGGATTGGTCACATTTTGTTTGCCTTACTCATCCCAGAGCTTCAGTTTCTATCTGTCTCAGTGAGTGAGCCTCTTACCTCATTTCCATGCCTTCACATGATAGCATTCTGCTTGAAACACTTTCTCATTTAATACCGAATCTGTTGTGGTTGTCATTTTTTAGTAGCGTTTAAACAGTTGTATGACAACTCAACACTTACTATTGTTTAATCTATAGTAATTTAATTATCTGTAGCACTTCTTCCTAAATGTAAATGTCGCGCTTTCTTTTTCGCTTTATAGCTTTGGTCCATCACTAACACTTGGTGTTGCGCCTCTGTCAAAGTACCCGGGAATCCACGCTCTGCTGCTAAGGAGTCAGAACGTCTCGGCGATTCGAAAAAACAGTCAATTGGTGCACCGTGGATTTCTGCCACCTGGTTGCCCACCAGTGATGCAGCGGTCACTCCAAACATTTACCTCTCTGGTCTTCGTGGTGAGCTGTATGCATGGTCTGGATCTGGTCAACCCATCAGGTTGAATGTGGGTGATTTTGGTCATTCCACGCTTGTTTTCGCAATGGTGAGAGTTAACAGCTCTCCTGGTTTTCTCTTTACCGTCGGGCAAGATCGCCAAGTCATGCTGTGGCGACAAAGCGAAGGCGACACGCTTTCCCATGTCCTACGTATTCCCACCATCTCAGCTGGCGTTTTCGCTATATCGCAGTCAAATCATGGTCTTGGTCCCGTTGCCGCTGGAGTGGCAGATGGCTCTATCACTCTGTGGCGCCATGGTTACATAGTTTCCTCGCGATCGGAGTCCCAGTCTGTAGATGACATCGTCAGTTTTTATCCACGTGGCTTAAACGCCACTAGCATCACCACTCTGGCTTGGCATCCCTCAGCCAGGCATGAATCTTTGTTGGCTTATGGAACGGAAGCCGGATGCGTTGACATCGTGGACATCGCAAAGGTGTCAAAAAGCAGCACTCAGAAAGGCAAATCCCAACCTTACGTAATGGGATCCACAGTCTACCGTGTTGTCTGGGGGCCCCTGCTGTTCGGCAACCTATGCAACAAGGGTGATTTCAGCACGTTGCCAGTGGACGTTGCAAAGGAACAAACCGACGAATCATCCCTGTCCACTAATTGCTCCAATTCGCGTACAGACAAGTTCCAATTTTACGTGTACAGTGTTTGCAAAGGAAAATTTTTTCTACATGTGGGATTTCAGCGCCCACCGCAGGACGTAACTGCGCTCTTCCCCGAACCGCCTGACGTTTCACAGGATGATTGGCTAGGTGACAAACGCAGTGACATCTCATTTCTTTTCCTTGACGAGGGACGATCCAACCTCCTCAGTGATTCTACAACAACACAGCTTCATACTACTTTCGATTGTCTAGTGGCGGTCGGCTTACGCTCAGGCCTTGTATACTTGTATGGACACACCAGCCCCACTGACGAAGTTCTGCGTGAAGGATCACCGAATCTGCAACTCATTTGTAAACTAAGCAGCCACACGAAGGGTATTAACTGCATGGCATGGTCTCCGTTGTACTATTGGCTTGCTGTTGGGTCCAATGAATACTTCATAACCGTCACCGATTTGTCAGATACTCTTCGACAAGTGGTGAAATGTAAATCACCCCACCTTTATCATCTGACCACATCCCTAGCTCATCTAGAGGGGCATTGCAATCGAGTTACTTGCTTAGACTGGTCTCCCCACGATCCCCATCTCCTCCTCTCTGCTTCATATGATGGGACTGCAAATGTTTGGCGGATTGATCACAAAGAAGATGCAGTATCACTGGCAAATTTCCGCGCCCATCGTCTCCGTCTGTTTGCTTGTTTATGGAGCCGGCGTGATATTGACTTGGCTTTTACCGGTGGTGAGTCGTGCCATCTGTTTAGCTGGCGTCCTTCTCGTTTGGAAGAAAAAGCGCCACCTAACATTCGTCGTTTACGACCACCACCGCTTAAACGTCTTCCAGTAGACGCAAAATCTCTTCCGGTACCAGAAAGTGACATTAAGGAAACGGTGACAGGACCATGTATAATAGACGAAGTTTCAAACGCTTCTCCCTCACCATCTATCGAAATGGAACCTGCATCTACTTCATCTACCACTGAGCCTAAGCCGCTACAAAGTAAGAAACAAACCACGTCAACTGAACGACGCAAGCGCCCTTCTTTATTCCCCAATTTTCTTCGTCGTGATTCAGCTTCCCACAGCTCTGTTTGTCTGGACTTTATTCCACCTTTTCAGTTGGGATCCCGTTTCATGCAAGTGTTACACGTTTTGTATTGGTTACATAGCAAAGTACCTCCCCCCGATGTGGACCGCGATTTGTTGTTTTTGTTGCCACACTGCATGCAGACGCGCCATCTCACGACACGCTTCCTAACCGATGAAGCCGACCTTCATTTCAATGCGTACAAATTGGCACAACGTCCTAACAGTTTGAATCACTTGGATGCCTACTGCATGATACAACTTTGGCTCGGCCGTGCCCCTTTGGTCGCTAATGTTCTGTGTGCCGAGAGCCATATGCCATTTTGGTTGCTTTGGGCTGTGCAGCTGGCTTTGAGCACCTCATCCACGTTCGGCACCTGTTGGGGCGATGCAGATCTACTTGAGGCAAAGGTGAGAATAACTGCTTGTTGTATCACTTCGTTTTTACCTCGATATTACTTTCGGCTATGAACATCTAGCACTTTTGTATGTTTGTGATGGAGATAAATACGGCCATTGTTGTCAAAGCCTTCTGTGTCTTTCTATTTCTCTATTTAATCCGATTTTTAGTTTCCTCTTCCATTAAAAACAACCCGTATTGTCTAGAATACCATTCAACGTTCTCAGCTCCATGACCACGAAGTATCTGGCAGCTCACCTGATTAGCACTCATGTGTGTCTTTCATCGACTCCATTACCTGTTCTTCTCGCACTCCACTCAGGTTAAAGAAATCAGCCTAAATGGCTCGGACATTTTACTGGCGTCTACCTTGTTGGTTTGTGGTGGCCGCTCTTCAGCAGCAATCGATTACTTGCTCAAACATGATCGTGTGAAAGAAGCCCTCATATTGTCGCAAATTCGTTTGAATCCCACCGATGCCAACCCTGTGATCAAGCAGTGTCTCATGCGAATCGCTGAACGCCGACTAGTCTCAGATGTCCCTTTCCTCAATGTTATACATGCTTTGGGCGAGGGCCAAATGAAGGAAGCTCACTCTTTGCTTCGACGCACAAACACCGGCTCCGGCTTGCATGCTGGAGCCGATCCAGAACAACTCGCTTCCAATTGGGTCGAGGTCAATGTTATCCTGGCTTCTGACGACACCTCCGCAGTGGTAAATGCTTTCGCACGCTTGGCCTACACATGCATGCTTGTGGGCTTTAACCTGACTATAGATCAGTGGGTGCATTACTTTCATCAGTGGCAGGCTAGTTCGATTCCAGTTGACCCTACTGGTCTTGGCTCTGCTTGTTTTAAATATCTTCTAAAAACTGGTTTTTACATTTCTGAAGTTTTAAATGGCTGTCTCGATAGTGCCCGAGCTGAGAATCTGCTGAATGATACGGCTCCCTTGTTAGATACAACACGGGCGTTTCGGTGGTTGGCGGAAGATCGTCAGCCGTCAACTCAGTGGGCCACCTGCGTAGCGCATTTAGTTGTGGATTTCGCCTTGTGTCTTGTTTTATCCACTCAAACAGACATCGCGGATGAATCTTCCGATGAAGATTTCCGTAGGTTCTCTTGCAGCCTCCATCGGTGTGCTGATGTCCGCACAAAAGAAACGATTCAATTGATTGGCGGTGTATTGCTTACTCTGAGTAATACTTCAAAGAACTATGAAAAACTCTGCCAGGCGCTTTCCTCGCCTTTGTCCTCTTTCGGCCAATCTTCTGCCTGATAACTTTCATTATGCGGGATGCCTTCATACTGCTTGCATTTATCCATTCCCCTAATTCTACCAGATTGTGCTATTTTATCACGGAATACATGAAAGTACTTTCGTAACCGAGTTCTACTGCCACTTTTGTCCACCGCATGCTTGCGACACCGCTTTCTTTTTCTTTATCTCGAAGAACCTGTCCGTTTGGCGGCTTGTACATGATTGCAGTGCTGAACTGTGTCTCTAATTTCGGCAATGTTTATCACAACTAACCCACTAGCTGGGTTGTCTCTATATTTGTGGTCGTTTGACGACATAAAATTTCTGTCTATTTACAATCCCATATGACCATTCTTCTTTGTTTGGTCCTTGGCTTAAACCTTCATTGCGACGTTTTTGCGATATCATGTGCACCATAAATTCAGTTCAGCTCAGTTCAGTTGATCAACTATGATCTGAGCACCGAGATGCGGTGGATGCAGTTGATACGACACACCGCAAGAATTACAATAAATAACGCCGGCGAGCTATTATGGTTGGGTGCAAATAAAAGTAAAGTAAATAACTGTAAATCGCCAGCTGTACGCCGTAACGGCGCTTCGCTGCCACGCGACCATCACCAGTCGCGCGTGGGCTGAGTATACCGCGAGGACGCCCGCCCCTACGCGGATTCGAACCGGTGACGTTATGGTTGCAAACCTGACGCGCATACTACTTGGCCACCATCCGACTAGGGTGCAAATAGAATCTAGAAAAGATAAGTCAAGAAGGAAATGCATTAGATTGATCAGATTGGAACGAAGATTAACAACCAGTTGAAGGAAGCTGAATGCAGGAGCGCCACTGACGTCGTGACTGCACCATGTCTGAAACAGTCTTCAACCACTGATGTTGATCGTCTCGAGGCACCCATCCAGGAAGACGACACGCACCAGCCTGACCAAGTCTCTCAGTCAATTCCTTCTAGCTTCTGTGCCATACCATTTACTGGCTGCCTCGAGGTTCCCCCAAACACGGTGCAGCCACGGCGTATAATGCACACCGAAGAAGCCGATCAGCGGGCATACGGAGGACATGGCCTCGTCAATGCAAGCGGATAAGATTTCTCAAACACTCGAGAGGGTTACCAGAAGGCTCCTTGCCAAACCAACTGGCGGACCTCAGCATTGCTCACCCAGGGTACTTCGCAAGGGCCGGTGGTCAAACACAGCCAAGCGTTTAATGTCTTCCTTGCTAGCTCGCCATGTCTCTGATCCACGCAGTAACACTGGCCTTATCGTAGCGTTATACACCCTATATTTCACTGACAAGCTGATATCCTGCACTTTCCAATAATGGTTGAGTCTCTGGAAAGTAACACGGGCGTTGCTGATACGCGCAGTAACCTCTTCAGTGTTATGACCTCCAGAGGTGACACAGCTACCAAGGTAAGTGGACCGATTCACCACTTCCAGTGGCTGTTCGGAAATTGCCAGAACCGGGAGTGTGTAGGCCCAGTCCTGCAACAGCACTTTGCACTTTGAAGGTACAAAGTACATTCCAAATCGTGCGGCCCTACGCACAAGTCTGTGCAGTAGGGTTTGTATGGCCAACGCATCAGACCCAAGGAGAACTATGTCGTCCACATACTCCAGATTTGTGAGTCGGCCTCCTGGCAGAACTTCCACTCTAGAATAGTCTGAAAGAACCGTGACATTCCTGATCATCGCGATCACGAAGTCGAAAAGAATGGAAAATATAGGACAACCTAGGGGAACCCCGCTTCTCGTGGGGAACTCAGGAGAGACTTTCCCCTAGACCCTTACGCGGCCTCGGAATCAAGGTAGATGGACTTCAGAATGGAAAAGAGTTTAGGTGATACGCTTTCCATGGATAGTCAGTGCCGCAATCTGGCTCGGTCAACAGACTCGCAGGCGGCTCTCAAGTCAAAGAAAACCACCATAGTCGGTCGTCTGTATGTGTGTCTGCTCTACAACTTGGCTAAGAGTTACTACGTTATCGATGCAACTACGGCTAGGGCCGAAGCCACCTTGGCTTTTAGGGATTCGGTCCTCACGGGGACCAGTAAGTTGTCGTAGAATGATACCCGGGAGAAGTTTTGTGGCAATGGAAATAAGGCTAATGCCTCGGTGGTTTTCGCACAAAGTACGCTGACCCCTCTTGAAGACAGGCACGACATTTGAAAGTCGCCAGTCTGAAGGTACTTCTTTAGTGTCCCAAATCGTGTTAACAAGAGAATCAAGTCCAGTCAACACAGAGTCATCGCCACCTTTCAGCAAAGATAGGGGTCATCTGGTCCCGGAGCCTTGTTTCGTTTTAAAACGGCAAGCTCATATCGAACCTCTTCCAAAGTGGTAGGTGTGACATCTACTTCCCACGTCGGCTCAGGTGATTCGATAAGCGACAGTGTCGCAGCAGGTCTGCTGAACTCCTCACAATGCTCCACTCAACGGGATAGTCAACGACGCTGAGAAAGGATCAACAGTCCATCTTTCTCAGCAATTGTCTCACTAACTGAGAGCTTTCTCGGACCCGTGTTTCGGATGGGTTGGAAAAGCACCCGGCTGTTTCCAGTAGCGTTGGCTTTCTCTATCTCTCGGGCCCTTACTATCCACCAACGTTCCCGGTCGATTCGAAGATCCCTTGCGATGCTCGTTTCAGGGAGTTACGTGCACACAGAAACTCAGTGCCCTTTGGAACTTATCGGTGCTTTAGAGATCCACTCACATTTATGACGTCTTAAGTTGGGTGCTCAACGGGCGTCAAGGGGATTCTTCATGACACACTTGAAACGATCCCAATCAGCGTTTGGCTCACCAACCGCATTCATCACTGACAGTTGGTGGGTCAGTTCGGTATAATATTGTTGCACCGTAGACTCCCAGGTGTTGTTCAGGGTCTGAAAGACGACCCACTTAGGCATTCAACACACCAGTAACAATCATGATGCCAGTTTTCTTCACCATGCAGAGAAGGGATGAAAGATGGTAGTAGAAATCATCTTCGGCACCCTCAGAACCGCCATCAGTAGGAGCATAAACGGAGACGATAAAGAGGCATCTTGTCTTCATACGGTGCTTATTAACCCCACTAGAGCTTGAGGTCGAACCACACCCACACGACTGTTCACGAGTATCCAATCGAGTAGATTACCTTCGGCATGTCTGCTGAGGGCGATGCTAACACCATAAACACCTTAAGTCATTGACTCGGTATCACCGGAGATGCGAAGAGTGCAGTTATTGTCGTCAAATTCAGAAGCAGGGTGTCGAAGATTTGTCACAACGCTGTTATCATATATGCTTGTTCCGGAGACCCAGCACATATCAGTACCAAGAGAGTGAAGAGTGAGAGTCAGTGCTGCCTGATGACCGATCTGACCCAATGTGCAGACGTTAAGAGAACCAATGTGAAATAATACTCGGGATTTGATGGACGATATACGAGTATCGATGGCAGAAGCAGCGAGGTCAACGGCAGACTATTGCCCAATAGACGTAGAAGAAGTGAGTTGAGAGGAGAGAGCAAAATAAGAAGAAGAAGAGGGAGAATTGTCGACTTGGTCGAGAGGGCAGATGATACTCTCCGGCTGCCCACTCCGAGGGTGGGGTTTTGTTCGAGGTGCCCTATCTCTAGCCTTTGACCCAACAGTCTGACCCACAACGCAGTGGGAGATTCGGAGGTTCGCTCGATAAACTTTACTCGAAGCCTTTGGCTCAGTAGCCTTACCCACAAGACAGTGGGGAGAAAGTTCAGCTAGGCTGTGTGATTGCCTAGACCCATTTGCATCTCCTCGACGCCTGTTACACACAGTCTTTGGAGCTTTGGAACAATTCATATGTATTTTACGACCGTATTACGTTTCGCATCCGCGACAACGGTCAGCCGCAGGTGGGGGTTGGCGGATTAGCACCACTTTGATCAGGGTCTGCCTGGCTTGAGACAGACGGTAGCAAACCATTGAGCACCGGGAGGTGCCCTCCAACCTCCAGAGAAAATGCGTGGCGCTGCTGCTCTATGCCAATCGAGCTATGCGCTTATAATCCTTAGGCCTGTCACCTCCTATTGTTAGTTTTTAATGTAAGAAGGCCATCGACTTCTCTCTAACCGAGGAGAATTGGAATGTGAGACGGCATTAGTCTGACGCCTAACCATTGACGTGTCTGGTATGAGTGGCTCTGAACGCACTTGGAATGTGTCATTTGGTATAGCTTTATGGGCCACAGGGGTTCGCAAACCATCGCATCACGCTCAGGTCCAGTCTCCTTGCGACGGATGTACACTATAAGGTCGTATCTCGATTCCATTTGGCTTGGATTTGTCTGCCACTTTCCTTGCAATCAATTACGGTACTCCGAGGTGTTGCCTCAGGTCGCATCGGAAATGAGCCGCAGCGCGGTACCACAACCGGCACTACTAGAGCGACTACTGCTGCTTGATCATAGACTGGAGGTCAGAGAAACTCGGCCACTTGATCTTCATGGCTGCAGGTTGTGGCTGGGATTGTCGGCCCATAGCCTAGTGGTTACGAGCTTGTCTCCTAATCTTGCAGCACGGGTTCCAATCCACGTAGAGATGGGCGTCCTTGCAGTATACTCAGCTGGCGTACGACTCGTGGTGATCGCACGGCACTGAAGCGCCGTTACGGTATACAGCTGACACATTATTATTATTATTATTATTATTTATTATTACTGGGATTGCTTCTCTAACATCTCAGGAAGGAGGACCTGCTTTAGTAGATGATTTACACGAGTTGCTAGTGCAACTTTGGGAGCAGGAGACTCTCTCGACAGACTGGAGCCGCTCCGTCATTGTCCAAATTTCCGAGGGAGGCTCCCATTCGGAATGCGGAAATCACAGAGGGATCAGTGTGATTTATTTGCTTCTAAACTGCTTGCGCCTGTCATTCTCCACAAACTGACTGGCACTCGTGAAAGCCAGATTCGTGAAGAGCAAGCCGGTTTCGTCGAGGTCGTGACTGCATCGACCACATCTTCATCTTGCGTCAATTGTTGGAACACCGCCATGTGTACTGGCGCCCCACTGTTGTCCTGTTTCTTGATATAAAATGCGCCTTCGACTCAGTCGATCGATGTGCCCTTTGGGACTGTCTGCTGAGG